TATTAAGTGCCACCGAGTAGGTTCCGACTCATAGTGACCCTGTATAGGGTTTCTGAGGAGCAACTGGTGATCTTGAACCACTGACCTTGCAGTTTAAACTGACTTTGCAGTCCAGTGCATTAATTCAGTGCCACACCAGGACTCCACATGGAGTAACTGGAAACAAATAATCTGGTGGTTAGGGGTCCTGAGCTTTGGACAGGCACAGAGAAGAGGAGCCCCCTGCCCTGAAGAGTAGCCCTCAGCCTGTCAGAAGGCACCAGAGTATCTAGCCCACCTGGTAGGAGTGTTGCACACCTGTCACGTGGACTTTGAGACAGCCCTGTGAGATACATAGTCAGATATAATGGCCTCCACCCTTTCAGGACGAGGAAAATACGCTGTGAAAGATGAAAAGACCCTCGTTATGCCTCAAAGCAAGGAATGGCACTGCTGGAGACTGAGCCTCCGTCTGACGTGTCATGTGAGCCCATTTCAGACATACAGACAGTTAGAAATTTGGGGGGATGTGACAGGACACTGCCTTCCTGGCTTCCGCATGTAAGCATGATGGCTCATCATGGTAAAATCTCTCTGTTTTCTAGTCTCCATCTCCTAGAGCAGAAACCCTCAGAGCAGCATTGAGTGAACACAATTTCTGTCCCCAGTAGAATTTCCCTTTAGAGTCCATCAGGACTCAGATCCCTCTAATTATTTTAACAACAATAATTATGACACCTCCCTTTATATACTCTTAGTTTGCCCTCCCCCTCTCACCATTTCCACACTTACCTCATTTTATCCTACCACTCAGGAGTTGGCACTCGCTGGCAAAGACTTGGTGGCAGGAGCTGATCTGCAGCCAGAGTACTTTCGTGTAGCTCCAGCCTCTCCCTTTCCTTGCTCTCCTGCCCAACCACGTGCCCCTGAGGTTTTGATGTTTGGTTTTGTAGACATTTTGAATTTGTGTCAGGTTATCCATTGCATCCTGAAAAGAGAAATCATCAGCACTTTGAACTTGGAGATAACCACCCCTGTATGTAATCAGCTGGTCCCACTCCCCTGCCACCCCAGAGTCTCAACTATAGGTCACTGCCCTGGCCTGGGTACCACAGATTAACCTGCCACTCCCCCTAGAAATCACAGCCTGCCTTCCGACTAGGAGTTTCTCTTTCTCTTCTAGTTGCATGTCCTGAAATTCGAGGAGTTTAAATAACAGGATGACAGTCAACTTGTCCCATCTCCTGTCCCCCTCAGATCCAGAATTTGCCCTCTGGTGCCCCTTTAGCTCTTGAGGCTTTAGGGGTGAAAAATGCCATACTGCTGCCCTGGATTGATTTGATTCCCATTTGACTCCACCCCAGCTCACCACTGAGAAAGAAGAGAGTGAAGTCTTCATTTACCATGGGTCTTCACTTCCCAACTTCAGCATGAACATTTGGACCAAATGTTGGAAGTTCCTATTATGTTGAAAGCCTGAGGCAACCCTTGTGTCCCTCCCTGTATCTCTCCTTGGCAACCCAGAGCACAGTATCAGCTATCCGAATGGATTCTGAAAAACAGAGGGGTCCACTGCCTAGTTTTCCTGGTATTCCTTGGAGAATCTGGAAGAGCATTTAACCAATGTGCTTAACCTTAGCAAATAAAGATTAGTATCTTTCATGAGTTTTGGGAAATGAATACCTCTTTCTGGCCCCTTGTCCGCACCCCTGACCTCTGCACTGCTGTAAGATTGAGATGCTATTGTTTGGCTCAACTACTCATTCAGGGCCCTGTGTATGGGCTATGGGCAAGCAAACCCAGTCTCGGCTAGCAATGCACTCCTGAAGGGTAGGGTGATTACCTAAGAATTTGTTTCATCTCACCATGCTTGCTTTCTTAGTGGAGAGGAGAAAATCTGTTCATGATGACACCACGGCCTTATCATTATTATTTTATGCGTTGTAACTCTGGTAGCGTAGTGGTTATGAATTGGGCTGTGAACCTTAAGGTCAGCAGTTCAAAACTACCTGCTGTTCTGCGGGAGAAAGATGAGGCGTCTGCTCCTGTAAAGATTTACAGCCTCGGAAACCCTGTACAGGGTCGCTATGAGTCGGAACGGACTCCACGGCACACAACAACAACTTTAATATAACTTTAAACTTAAGGTCATAAAATAAAGAGTACTTGACAAGAAAAGTAGAAGGTTCTTTGAGTTGCTACTACAACCTCCCTTTTGTTGTATATTGCCTTCCCCATCAGCCATGTTAACATGTGCTTACCCCCTGGTCTGTAAATAATTTCCCCTTCCATCCCACCCCTAGTAACCGTCACAGAATATTTTTTCTTTTTTTTTTTTAGAATATTTCTTTTAGCAATAAAACCTTTTATTAACTTTTTTTAAAAGCTTTTATTATGAATTGAGTGATAGTTTACATGGGAGAACATCGGTTTTGCATTCATCCTACTGTATTTTGTTTCATTGCAATGATTACAATCTTCTTCATGCATCATCGATTAATAGTGCTTGCTTCTATTCCCTCTTATGTACACAAAAACATGCAGGAATATATAATTGTTTAAACAGCCAAAGGGCACATTCTGCAAGCCTGCCTCCTGGCCGCTAGCACACAGCCTTTCTCTTTCCATGAGTCTAGAGTCCTCAGCTGCTCTATCTCTTCATACCAGCACCTCTGTCTCCATCTCTGGTATCTCTGCTTCTCTGGTTAGGGTTCCATGTTCTCTCTTGGTGGTCCTAGGGTCCTCTGTTCCTGGAACTTTTATTAACTTTTGACAACAGTGGTCTCATACGATGTGTCTTTTGTGACTAATTGGCAATGTGGGTTAATGCGCTGGACTGCAAAGTCAATGTGAACCACAAAGTCGATTGTTCAAGTTCACCAACTGCCCCTTGGAAACCCTACACAGGTTTGCTATGGGTCAGAACTGATTGAATGGCACTTAACAACATCCTCCAGGTTCATCCATGTTGTGAATTGTGGTGCTGTTGGATAAGCACTGGACTGCTAACTACAAGGTTGGTGGTTCTTTGAATCTCTGACTGGATCACTATGAATCAGAACTGACTTGACAGCACTTAACAATGTCTTCCAGGTTCATCCATATTGTGAGGTGTTTTGTAGATTCGTTATTCTTCCCTGTTGTGTAGTACTCCATTGTGTGTCAAGGAGTTAAAGGTAAATATTGTTAACTGATGGTACATGGAGGAGATTGCAGTCCTTGTAATGAAGTATATGGTTTGTTAAATATAAAACTGATGATTTGCTCTGTAAACCATCACTCAATTCATAATAAAACATTTCAAAAAATAAGAGTTGGTGTTACACAGCTCACAGGTGTTCTTCTGTCAACTAGTGGTTACGAATTGGACTGCGAATCTCAAGGTCAGCAGTTCGAAAACTACCAGCTGCTCCGCAAGAGAAAGAGGCTTTCTGCTCCCGTAAAGATTTATAGCCTCGGAAACCCTATACAGGGTCGCTATGGGTCGGAACCGACTCGACGTCACATAACAATTCCTTTAAAATGGGAGTCTTGGTATGGTGCTGTGGGTTACTACGGTAGACTGCAAAGTCGGTTTGAACTGCAAGGTTGGTGGTTCAGGCTCACCAGCTGCTATTTGGAAACCCTCTACAGGGTTGCTATGGGTTGGAACTGACTGGACGGCACTTGACAGCAAGAAACATTCCTTTAAATAATTTTATTAGAGCCAAATTATTTAAATAATTTTATTTGTTTCATCCTTTGGTAGATGAGAAAAATACAATACAAAATACATTATACATAGGACAGCTCACAGTACACATTACTAAAAACACAATCTACATTCCAGCCAGGGCAGGTGATAAGTTCAGAAGGAAGCCACAGAGGCCTTGACAACCAGATTTCAGCTCCATGGAGAGTTCTCCCCTTGTGTCCTCTCTTTACCCCAACCTCAGCATCTATCAGCACTCCTCATACATGGGTGTGGGTAGAGCAGCATTGAGTAGGGGCTGGAAAACTCATCATTCACCTCAAAGGAAAAGGGAGGTGGGGAGGGAGATGGCCCATGTTCAAATGGCCCTGGCTCAAAGCATCGCAGGTCTCTTGCTGGTTCCCAGGCAGTTGTCTCAAGTCTGGGTTTCTATGACCAGGTCTTCACTTAGCCATCTCTGGCCTGTCATTACGTTCATCATTCAGTCTCTAGGCATAGACACTCCTGAGAGGCTGTCTCAGTGCCAAAGCGAGTTCACTGAAGAGGAAGTGCAGGCAGTAGTACCTACTCTGAGAAGCCAGGCCCACCCTGTCCTTCAGCATGTACATCTGGCACAGCCCCAGTTCTGTCTGGCCCCCTCACATTCCCAGAAGCACTTCCCTCAGCCCCAAGCTAACACTTTCCAATAGGACCCGCCTTGTGGGAAAGCCTTGACAGAATCCACACCTCCTCCAGCCAAACAACAGTATGCCAGTGTTCTTTGACAAGACCAAATGCAACAAGGCAGGAGGAAGAGGAGCGTAGGAGTCACCCAGTCACCACTCCATACTACCTCGGGGAAGGCCTTCTGGGCAGGAGTAGAAAGCAGTGAAGACCCAGGAATTTTAACTACCCAGCACATTGCTGCGACCAGAAAAGACCACATACACACACACATAGGAGACTGCACCCCGACTTCCATTCAGTTCATTTGAAAGCAATTCTATGAAGCAGACTCTTACTCCTTTTTCTTTTTCCTAGAAATTTGAAAACATTTCAGTGACTGGAACAGTAGTCCTAGAAATTTAGATCGGTCTCAGACTACTACGTAGTTGTTTCTCAGGCAGGTGCCACATTCCAAAGGGACCAAGTACTGCTGCTCCAGAGTTTTGGGGAGCAATCTAGATCAAGGGGGTGACCAGGGCATGCGCTCCAGCAAAGCACAGCCTCTTGTCATCTCTCCAAGCCAACAGTAGGCTGGGCACCTCTCCCTCACCTCCCAAGTAATTCAGGGGATGGGGGTGGGGTGGGATGTAGGAATTAAAAATAAAGATGAGTCAAGACCAACATCTTCAAATTAACAAACTGTAATTGTTTTCCCAAAGATACATTTTTTCCATACACATCCATCATACACTGTAACCAAAAAAAGCAGTGTACATGAAATAAGAGAAAATAAATTAAAAATCCATAGCATAGGTAAGGAGGCTCTAGTCTGGAGCACAGCTGAGTTCCAGCAATATAAGGAGGCTCGAAAGTTCTTTTATAAGAATGCCGGCTAGCAAGGGTTCCAGCAAGGTGGTTGGTTGGTCTGTAAGTCAGTCTTGAGTACTTGAAACAGTTCTGTGTTTTGTTTTTTTTCCTTAGCGTTTAGAATAGCCATCATTGTCCTGCAATAGGCAGAGCTATCCCATCCAGGAAAAATGAGGGAGGGAACCACAGAGGCAGCGTGAGATCCAAATACAGCATTCAAAGGTAATTGGTCCAGTGGTGCCTGGGGGAGGAGGGTGGGAAGGGCTCTCCAGGGCTAGCCATCTTCCTTTGGGGGTGTGTACCAGCCTGCCAATAAACAGAACAAGATACAGTCATCAGGGAGGTGGGGCTGCAGTCTAGTCCTGACCACTCACCACTCAAGATACCTCCAGAGTTGGAGATGAGAAGATCCTAGGAAGGGCTGTCCTATGCAGGGGGAGAGGTGGTGGATGGGAAGCTGAGAACTACCTGCCAGGTGACCATAATGGAAGGGAAAATCATGAGCCCAACCTGATGTGACAGAAGAGTTACATGAGCCTTTTCAGAGAGTGGCAGGGAGCAGGGGCAGTACATGTCTGTACGGGACAAAACTACTGTGCCTTTCTGGGAAAAGAGCTTGCAGATGTTAGCAGCCCTTCTCTGAGGAACAAGGAAGACCTGGGCTGTGATCTGATACGGGTGGTAAAACTTAGAAACCAAAGGAAGGGGTTCCTGCTATTTGGCTGGAAGTGGAAAAAAACCTCTGGGCTGGCAAGTGTCCGAATCCCTGAGTCTTGATTCCAGCCTCACCGTTTTTTTCGTGGATCTGCACCAAGGACTTGTAGGACTGCTGTGCTCTTGTCAGACTGTATTGAGACTGGGGAGAGGAAGCCACCAAATCAGGCCATAGCCAAGCTGCCCCTCACATTCCACAGGCAGTTGACACACAATTACTTGCACTTGGGGGGCCCCGTTGGGCACAGCCCTGCCACAGCCTTAGGCTGCCCTCAGACTGAGGTCCCGCCCCATGGGCATCCCAGGCCCTCTCACCCAGTGCCGCCCGCCTCACCCGCCTTACTTTGTTGGCTCCAAACTGCACTCGTGCTTTCCCCTTCACCAGCGTGGCACTGATCTGCATGATCACGGACTCGATCGAGTAGGCACTGCTCCAGCCCTGGGAGCAGGAGGATCAGGGCAGGATTGTTCTCCAGACAGTTCTACAAGCACCCTGGCCCTTCCCTCCCAGCACAGCCATCACCTGTGTGCCCATCACCCAGCCCTGGTCCCACCTGCCCCACCCCACACAAGTAACCAACTCACCTGTTTGGTGAGGAGTTCCATGCAGATGGCACCTCCACCCAGAACATACCTGCAGAAGAAAGGCTGGTCAGCGGTACCTGCTCAAAGCACCAAGCCCCTTCCTCACCCTCTGCATCAGGTGGTTCCCTCTCCCCCTTGCCACCACTCACCCTCCGGAGAGGACTGGAGACACAACCCTGACAAATGGTGGGTCAAAGGGAAAATTATCCTAAGAGAGACAGACACGATGATCAGAGATGGGAGGTCAGCATCTTCCCCAAGACTCGAAGGCAGAGGGAAGACCAGGCCAGGGAGGGAGGAAGGGACTGGTAAGGAAGACGATCTTACTTTAAAGGAAAAGTTAAGTAGGATGAAGTCAGCTCCTTCTTTCTCTTTGAGGATCTGGAGATCGTTGTGCAAAGCGCTGTCCTGGTCAACTCTATGAAGCAAGGAGTCTGAGCTCAGGCTCCTGGTTCCAGACCAGGAGCCTCATAACAGCTCCCACCCCTGCAGCTTAGCAGCAGATGGGCAAACCACTGCCCACACCCATTCCTGGGACCCTGCAACCAACAAGTTGGATGGGTCTGCCTTCGGGACTCCCACCATAGTAGCTGCATTCACAGCACTCCTCAACTTCCTTTCCAATCCCAGAGTCCCACTCACTTGAGGAGTTTGACATTCCAATCATACAGACTGTCATTCACGAGTTCGACTGCATAGTTTCCTGGAAGGAAGAAGGCAGGTGTTACTGGGATGGTTCAGATGGTAAATGGTCCCTAATGCAGATTCCTTTTCCAGGCAAAGGCTACAGGTTCACCCTGGATAGAGAACGTCATAAGCAGTCATGTATTCCAGAACCTTCTGGGGTCCCTCCCCACCATCGTATCTTTCATCGAGAAACTCCTATTCAGGTCCCTCTGACGTGAACTCACCGCCTTTGTAACTCTGTGATCGGTATATATCCCTGAGCTCCTTCATCAGCCGGTCAGTGGCCTGCACCGAGCCAGACACCGCACCCTGCAAGAGAGGGACGACAGGTACATCCCAGAGTCACATGATCTGGGCCAAGTGCACTAGACCCTGGGGGCAGTCTGGCAGCTTGTCCCAGATTAGGGAAGGCTTAGGCACACCCATGATCCATCACTGCTCCCCATACTGATGTGTGATAGCCTACCACCTCCCAACTAGCAGCCACCAACCACTTTGCCCAGCCTCTTTCTAGACGGCACGTACGTACATTTAAGTAATCTTGCCTCTGGTTCTTTTTAATTTTCTCTAATATGGCCAAGTTTTCTTTTCCAATGCCATCATCTTCAGACTTCTTGCCCTCAGCTGGCTCTTCTTCTTTCATTTCATAGTGATCTAGATCTTCTGTGTCCTGGCAGAGGTGGGGAGGGAGTGGAACAGAGGAGAAGAAAGAAACCAACACAGGTTGTGAAAGAGGCCATCAGCTTCCCGTCTGGTCTACGGCCAAAAAGTAAGGAGGCAGCCATCTAGCAAGTTAGGAACACCACATTTTCATTTCTGATATAATACCCAGCCTTCCTTTACAGTCTGAAAGAATGAGGCAAGTGCTTCTCTTATTTGGGTCTCAGGAGCGAGTAAGGACCTAGGGTAAGTAGGTAGAGACTTAAGTCCTCTAGGGACCCAAAGAGACCTGCTTCCTAAAACCATCCCTAAAATGCTTCCTTGGCAGCAGAAACTCTTGCCTAATTCTTAGCAGAATGACTCTGACCTCACACTGTGACTCAAAGCTCTATTTCACTAGGTGACTATTGCACTCAGGAGTTCTCAGGGTCTCAGGTCTGAAGGAGAAACCTAATCATAAATCTCCCCTCTCTCCAAGTTCAGGCCCGCATCAGTTACATAGAGATATCCACAGCCAAGATGGAAAGGAGGAAAAAGGGGTTCCAGATAGGGAGGTGGTGGTCATGAACTGAGTACTTTATTCATCCTGCTCTAAGTGAGCCAGCAGCTCATTGTGCATGTGTTGGGGGAAGGAGGGAAGGTGAAGTCCACGTCTGGGGCCCACTCCTCTCAGTGAGAGTGGGCAAGGGAGGCAGAGTTGACCACCATCTTGGAGGACTGAGTTTCATGAATCACCTCTCTGTGTGGGCCATAAAACCCTTACAAATTTATAGAACTTGCAAACCCTGGGACATTAATCTAAAGCTAGAAAACTAAAGTGGTCTCCTTGCTCTGGAAGGAAGAGACAATGCTCATCTCTTAATTACCACATTAGTCTCTAACACTACTAAATGTTTATTATACGTCAGGTACTGTACTAGGTGCTATACCCACTAGCTTATTTCATTCTTACAATTACTGTATCATTATCCTATCATTATCTCCATTTTACAGATGAGGACACAGAGGTCTAGTGAGGTTAATTTGCATGCCCAGAGTCATACAACTCTTAGCAGAGATTATCTCTTATACCAAGTTCTGACTGGCTCTGAAATTAAATTCTTAAGCATGAAATTACATTATTCTAAAATATTGATGCTTTTAAAGAATTGTTTTTGTTCAGTGTTGTCAAGTCTGTTCTGACTCATGTTGTTGTTAAGTGCCATCAAGTCAATTCCGATCCATAGCAAACGAGTCAATCCCGACCCATAGCAACCCTGTATAGGGTTTCCAAAGAGCAGCAGGTGAGCTTGAACCACTGACCTTTCAGTTCAAACAACTTTGCAGTCTGACACATTAACCCACAGTGCCACACCAGGACTGACTCAGATAAGATAAATTAGTTAATACTTACCGTGTCTCATATAGCACATTCTACGTGCAATAATACCTCGTTTAATCTTAAGGACAAACTGAAGGCACAAAATGCAAAAACTATAGCTTAGTGGGATTAGGTGCAATCCTCCAAGTAACACAACTAGGAGATCTTGGATGTAAACTCAGTCTGTCTAACCCGTCAAATATTTGGTTTAAACAGATTTGCAACTTGCTGATCCTTTGTGCTACCTTCAGTGGTTGATGTGGGCGCCCTGTTTCCTCCACTACACTAACTGCTGCTCTAGATCAGTTCATTTGTCTTTATTCCTTTGGTATTTTTCTCTGCTCAGTTCTAGTCTGGAGCTGTGTATATATAGTGGGAGATCCATGCTGCTGACTCAAAGTGCTTCCTACCAATGCTGGTACTCCTGTCACCCCAGGGACAAGCCTACCTCAGGCATCTCCTCATCTTCATCTTCTGAAGACACGTCCTCCTGTGTGCACTGCAGTGGGGAAGGGAAAGATGGAAATCAGAGTCCAGTGATTTCCTGGAACACAGTCCCTGTCTTACTCCCAGGCCCCTAGCACTGGACACCATGCTGCCCGTAATGCCTCTCTACCAGCCAGACCAGAATGAGCAATGGTCCAAAGAGTAACTCTGGTGTCACATCATTAGTCTCCTCCTGCCATATGCCAGTGAATCCAAGAGAAGGAAAATGGGAGTTTCTGTCACCTACCTCACAAATCCCAGTTTAATTTTCCTAAAACCTTTCCTTTACTTGATGTTCTCTAGATTGAAATTGCATTCTTGGTTCTAAATGAGACCTGCGTCCCCAATGACCAGCAACTGCTATTGCTAAGATTATGGTAAAAATACCCCCTCCCTCTTAACAGGAGAGATAATGTTCATGAGAGTGAATTTTGGTAAGAGAGATGAAGCTACTAGCACCCCATTTCGCTAGATTCCTATCTAGAGGAGTAAGAGGCTGGGAGTCAGGACATGTAGATGTTCCTGGAGTGGGAGGGGACAGAGAAAAACTACTGCAGATTTTCCTCAATGAACAAGTGTTTATACTGAGGCTTGTCAGTGTAGAAACTGTACCATAGGGCCCAAAGCACTCCAGATGCTCACCTGCTCTGCTGGCAAGGGCTGGTCCAGCATCTCTACATCTGGATGCTGAGGGAGGTTATAGAGTTTACACAGGTCGGAGATGATCCTCTTCAGATGCTGCAATAGCTGGGGGTGGGGCACCAGAATGACGTCAAATACTCCATTCCCTACTCAATCTGCTAAAAGCTCAAGCCCTAAAGCAATACCTAGTTCTCTAAACCTTATGGACCACGTGGCTATGGGCTGAGTCTGCTGGACGACCAATCCTGGGATGGGTGCAGTAATCGCTCTTTGCCTTTGGCAAGTAACTCTCCTACGGAGACTGCCCCAACACGTCCAGTCAATGATAGCATCTACTTTCCAGATATAATCTCCCTTCCAAGAATATCTTCAGGACATGGGCCTCACAGAAGTAAATGTCCCCTCACCCTCAAACCACAGCACCCTCACCAGAGTATTCCCTTTCTTTATGTCCACCAGTCTCTCCAAGACAGCAGCCAAGTTAGGGTCATCAGACTCCACCGACCAGATGGGGGGTACAGCAGGGTAAGACTCCTAAGGGGAGAGGAGCAGGGAGAGTAGTCAAAGCGGGAGAAAAAGCCAGTCTTTACCTGCATCTCTCCTCCCTCCCAAACACACACACACACACACACACCCGCACACAACAGCCCATTTCAGAGTCTACCCTACAAATCCTGTTGTTGTTTAAGGGCTGTCAAGTTGGTTCCAATTCACATCGACCCTGTATAGGGTTTCCAAGAAACAGCTGGTGGGTTTGAAGCACCAAGCTTGTGATTAGTAGTCCAGTGCTTATCCTACAATGCCACACCAGGATCCCTACAAATCCTAGACCGGGAGGGCCTTTTCCAAGAAGAACCTTTTCTCTTTTCCTTAAGAGTAAAAACCAGGGAAAGCAGCAAAGCCAAAGCCTAAGAATAGTGAGACCTCCTGATCTACTGTACTGTCTCCACACATTCCAGATGTAAGGTTCTCTCCACAACCATCCCTCACAGTTTGAAAAGACAACCCTCTGCTTTTCAAACTCCATAATCAATTGAGGAAGGGATCATCTCATCATCACACTGGTATCAGAAAAACACAAAGACTGCAACTCACTTTAACTGGGGAAGAACTACTGAAGACTAGTTCGTACCTCCAGAAACTAAGAGCGTCAAGAAGACTCTCCCACTCCACCCCCAGCAGAGACCCTCAAAACCCAATTCTTCCATCTCTCCCTTGGGAACCTGCCACCCTCTCAGTCCAAGCGTGGGCTGTAGGGCTCCACATGGCAGGCTGGGAGAAAGAGGCCTACGCCATTGACATTCCCAGCATTCCTGAGCCATGGTGCTAAATGCAGCCTGACCAGATTCCCTCACTACCCAAACCATAGGGGCCATTTCAGGCCAATTCTCACTTTTAGGGGTCAGAAGGAGTGTGACTGGGAACCCCCTATAAACTAGCTTCCCACCATGGAGACAGAATGGCAGTTAGAAGGGGACAACGCTGCCCTTAGGGAACTGGAAGCTTAAATTCAAGAACCAAAGGAACTCTTGGGGTTTCCAAACATGCCAAGGAAACCATCCACCTCTACTATGGATCTTAGCTCTGCCACAGTTGTAATTCTCAATATTGTAGGCAAAAGCGATCAAAGATGCTAAATCTTCACCTAAGTTTCCCTATTTTCACAATCTAATGTTTTAGTTAAAGGGGTTATGAGAAAAGAATAAGACACATGAGTTTTGGTGGGTCACCACCTAATCCAAGTTGAGGCTTGCCTCAACAAACATTGACCTAGCATGTCCAGGTTTGATTGAGGAAATTCACAAGTCTGTCGTTTTCTAGACTACTGCCATTAGCAGTCAGCCTACCTGGTTAAAGTGCTATCCCATGGCTCCCTAGCTAATGCTCGTGGCAGGTGAACACCATCAAGCAATAAGCAATATAGGTGCTTTACCACATAGCACCATGGAACCCTGATGTGGCGCTGTAGGATAAGCATGGTACTGTGAACCATGAGGTCGACAGTTCAAACCCACCAGCTGCTTCTTGGAAACCCTATACAGGATCTCAACAGTACCTAAAAACAACAACTACCAAGTCGTCCCACATATCACCAGAGGTCAACCCTCTTCAGAGGATGTTTGACAATAGACCAGGTACAAGTGAGAAACATGGAAGGTTGTCTAGTCTAGCAAGCTTAGATGCTAACTGAGGAGGAAGGAACTGTTATGCTCACAATAAATGGGGTAGCCCTTGCACATCACCACCATTACCAGGAAAGGAAACAACCCAGGGCAATTGGAGACATGCACAGAGAACAGGGAGAGGAGTGGCAGATCTACTACCAGCTGGGGCAGAAGAGGAGAGTCAGAGGTTATACCAGGAGGTAAAAAAATAATAAAAGGGATCTAAAGGAGAGAAAGAAGAGCAGATGAACTACCAAACTATCACTTGGTAAAATTCAGAGACCAAAAAGGAGCTGGCTTGAGTCATGCCTGGGCAAAAATCCCACAGGTGGTAAGATCCTAAGTCAAAGGAACTCCTGAGAAGGGACATTATGGCAAAGTGCAGAGTTCCAGGCTAGGGCCTTCCAGCTGGGTCAGTGCAGAGGCCTGGAAAACCTTGAAATGAGAGTGGGGGAGGCAATGGGGCATTCTTGGGTGGCAAGGTAACGTCGAGGAGAACTAACCAGCCAAAAGAAACCCTAATTCTGAACCTTTGGATGTGGGTGGGTTGGTGGAAAGGGGCAGCGGGGGCGCCATATGTCGGAGTGTCTCTCACTATCAGGATCAATAGTAGAGATTGTGAGTGAACGGAAGAACATTAAAGAGCAGAAACAGGTGAAACCTGTGGGAAGACGCCGAGCCCTGAGAGGGGCTTTGGCCTCCCAGTTCCTACGAGAGCCAAAAGCTGCATGGGGTGATCCCTGACAAGGGGGCCCCCGGAGAGGTGCACGCAAGAGGGGTCCTCACCGTGATGTTGCAGTGTATGCGGACGGGATCCCCAGGCACCGACCCCCGTTGGGGGAGATGCGGTCCGGGCGCGGCCCCTGCCCCGGCCCCTCCGGCCCCAGCCAGCAGGAACTCGCAGCTCAGCTCGTCCAGGCAGGCGCTGGCAATGCGGAAGCGCTCGTGGCCTCGGTGGAAGATGGACTCGAGCAGCTTCAGCTCCCGCCTCAGACAGGGCCCCGGTCCCGGGCCCCCCCCTGGGCCACCCCCGGCCCCCGGCGCCGCCCCCTGGCCCCCCAGATGCTGCCCCGGCCCCGGCTGCTGCTGCCCCTGCGGCTGCGGCTGCTGCATCCTCCGCTCCGCTCCGCTCCGGGGCCGGCGGGCCGGGCGCCTCCGGCCTCCACTCCGGGCTCCGCCGCCGCCGCCGCCGCCGCCGTCCGCACTTCCTGATCCCCCCTTCGCCAAGATGGCGCCGCCGCCACCTCCGGGACAGGGCCCCCCCCTCCGCTCGCCGGCCCCCACCAGCCGCCGGAAGCCGCGTGCCCCTCCTCCTCCACCACCTTTTCAGCAGTCCCGCCTCTGTCCCCCCTCACGTGATCTCTCAGAGGCTGGCCTCTTTCACGTGATATTTGTCTTTCCCGCCCCCTTGCTCTTGCCTGCCACCCTTTACATGTGACTGGAGCTTTGAGCTCATCTCTCTAAGCGCCTCAGTGCGTATGTACGTACGTCATGCGTGCATGCGCACGACGGTCCTTCGCCGGCTGTCCCCTTACACGTGACCCGGCGCCGCGTGCTCCCAGGGGCTGTCCGCGCGGGACTTGTTTCCTGCTCTGGGACCCTAGTACCTGGATTTTGGTCAGCGGTGAGGGTTTCGGGAACTCGGTGGGCAGACAAGAAAGAACGAGAACTGCGGCTGTAGCCATATCGTCTTTATCTTGCACCCCAATTCTGGTCTACAGCTCCAGGGCCGGAAGTCCCCAACCCTCTACCCACCGTGGGAATTGGCACTCTGTGCTACACATTCAAAGAGGGGACTGTGGTCAGGGAAGGAACTAGGGACTGGGATACAAGTGGCTCATATTTGTCCCGGTCCTGCGTGAATTCGCTGTGTGACCTTGTGCTAGGCATTTTTCCTCGGAGCCTCATTGTCCACATCTGTACACTGACTTTGATAAGGATGTTGTTGTGAAGTGTCGAGTCGGTTCTGACCTATAGCGCCCCTGTATAGGGTTTCCAAGGAGCAGCTGGTGAGCTTGAACCACCAACCTTGCAGTTCAAACGGCTTTGCAGTCTGGCCCATTAACCCACAGCGCCACACCACGACCCTTGACAAGGATGTTGTTGTTAAGTGCCATTGAGTCAATTCCGACCCATAGCCACCCTTTATACCTGCTTAACCTACT